ATCCTTTGGATCAAAGCCACTTCATGTTGAGCTGCACCCAGTGCCAGATGTTCCCTCCAGATCAGATGGGGTTCTGCACGCTCCTCTCAGCTTTCTATGTTGATGTTAAATGACTTCATATACTTTTTGCACACATCGTGGTACCTCCCCAGAGGGCAATATTGCTTTCTAGAGCTGTCTCAAATTTTATTATAAAAAATATTCTTGGGGATATGGTCTTCTCCCATTCTCCTGACACAGCTGAGCCATCACAACCTCCTCTTCTTGATAGCAGTTTCTAAGTGCGACAGTTCTGTGCACTCCAGTGCCTCTGTGTTTGGCATTCTGTCTTCCCACTTTATTTTCAGGATCTTATGCAGACATCTCATGTAGAAGCTGTTCAGTCTCTTGATATGCCTAGCATATGTAGTTTATGTTTCTGAACCATAAAGCAGGGATGACAGCACACAAGTCTCATAGATTCGTATCTTCACCTTAGTTGGCAGTTTGCTGTTATTCCATGCATGTTTCTGTAATAGCCCAAAATTCTTAGCTGCCTTTCTGATTTTGTTAGTCAGTTCAGTCTGAATGTTACAATTCCTCCTGATTGTAGAACCCAAGTAGCAAAAACTGCCAATGACACCAAGAGATTTATCCTTCACAATGCTGTCGGGTATTGGATGTTTCACCCCTTGGTATATTATCACAGACTTCTTGAGACTAATAACCATCCCAAACCTCTTGCATGATTCAAATAATCTGCCCAAGGCATTTTGCAGGGAAGATACACTGTGGGCAACCAAGGAAATCTCTCAGAACCAGTTATTCCACCTTGGTTTTCACTCTAAACCTTGCGATGTTGAACAAGCCTCCATGTAGTTTTGTTCAAAGATAAATACCATCGCTGCTGTCACTGAATGCATAAAGGAATGAAAAGTGTCGGGACCGAGGGTCGGTCTAAGGCTATGGCCAGTAGCCCAGACCGTCAGGTGTGGTTTTTCCATGACGGAGTAGAGTTAGGCACGGAAGCGTATTGGTTTTACAAAGAAAGCTTTACTTACACTGCCGATGGTCACAGTGCAGGGAGGAAACTTGCTTGAGTTTGCAGTTGCACACAGACAAACACAAATGAGATCTCTTCCGAACCGAACCGAGATGAGTCGTCGATATACGACTCCACGAGCGCTTCACACGGGGGATACGTCAAATTCACACTATGACAAGGAGTGGCTAAGAGCTCCACCAAGACACGGGGAGTTTGCTAGGCTCCACAGCGCGCTCAGAGTTCTCCAGGAGATGGTTGTGGAGTCCTCCAACTGGGGCGGAAACTGCTCTAACCTTTTATCCGGCTAGCGAGCCAATTGCTAGCTGCCACGTAGGAATAATTTAGAATCAGCCAATAACGGGGTACAAATTTGCATGTGTGTGGTGGGAACTCTTTGCACCGGGGTTTTCTCTCTGCAGCTGAGAAATCCACCGTGCAAAGAAAGCTCCATGTGACAGGAAAATTCCAATGTGCCGAGGCACTAAAAATCATTGGGTTATGACAAAAAGTAGAGGTTAAAAAGCGTGGAGACTAAGACACACCCCTGTTTCACCTCACTGTTGATATTAAAGGTGTTTGATTCTTTGTTTTCATACACTACAGTTGCCTTCATAAATTGATGTAATGAATGAATGATGTTCAACAGTTCAGGGGGACAACCCTGTTTCTTTAGATCAGTAAAACCCTGTCTGTTGACTGTTTTGAAGGCCTTTGTCAGATCAATGAAGGCTATGTACAATGGTATTTATTTTTCTCAACACTTCTCCTGTAGTTGCTGGGCCAAAAATATCATATAAATGGTACAGTGTCCTGAGTGAAAACCACGTTGACTTTCAGGATAGATTTTTCACCTAGAGATTACAGCCTAGGGAGCACGATGTTAGTGACAATTCTTCCCATGAGGTTCAACAGGGAGATACTGCTATAGTTGTCACAGTTGCTTCTATCCCACTTGTTTTTGTATAATTGTACAAACCAAGCAGCTTTGAAATCTTGTGGTATTGCTTCCTTTTTCCATCAGATAAGGATAACTTTATGAAGCTTTCAAAATAATTCAACGTTGGCACATTTATAGATTTCAGCAGGCAAATAGCCATTGCTGGATGCATTGTTCCCAGGAATTGATTTAATGGATTTCTGCAAATCTTCTAATGTAGACTCATTGTCTAAATCTATCATAACTTCAAACTGTGGTAATCCTTTGAGCTCTTCATGTTTGATTTCAGTCTCACTGGAGTTTATATAATTCCATAGTGTTCAATCCAACACTCAAGTTGCTTTTGTTTATCAATAAATAATAAAGTGATAATATAACACAATTTACATCAGACACGATTTAAAAAGGTCATTGTTTGCCAATGATTACTCTACAGTGGTACTAAAAACAGAACAATATATATGAGTGTGCAGTGTTATGCAGCCACACAAAAAGTGAACATGGTTTAGGGATGCCTCAATAGAAGCATTTGGTGCAAAACACAGGAGGTGATAGTGCCTCTCTACTCAGCACTGGTTAGGCTTCCTCTGGAGTACTGTGTGCAGTTCTGGGCTCCACATTTTAAAAGGATGTAGAGAAGTTAGAGAGGGTCCAGAGGCAGGCTACAAAGATGATCAAGGGCTTGGAAGGCAAGTCATACAAGAAGAAGCTGAAGGAGCTGGGCAAGTTCAGCACCCCCCACCCCAGTTCAGAGATCAGCCACAGGGGGACCCCAGATGCCCCCCCAGACCCAGGAGGCACGATTTGCAAGCCGGGGTGGCATGGGAGGCTCCCCCACACACTCCCTGGTGGACCCAGAAGTAGACTGGAAGTGCTTCTGGTCCACTTCTGGGTCTGCTGCCAAGCGCACTGAGGAGCTCCCCGTGCTTCTGTGGGACACTCCATGCACCCCAGCATTGCAGTACTCACGAGCCTCCTGCTACCTAGAGGTATGTAGAAAAAACATTTAAAGCTGTGTCTATGTCCAAATCTTTCCAAATCAACTCGGAGGGTTCTGATTCGATTTGGAGAGATTAAAGGGTCCTCTGATTTGATTCGGATTCAGAGACTCAGCCACCAAACTGAGCCAACTCTCTGCCAAATCCTGCCAAATCGAATCAGGGACCAAAGCTTCACACAGCTCTACTCTCCATCACTTGAGGTGTTCAGCAAAAAGGTTGAACAGCCACTGGTTGGGGATAAGCTATGCATAACTATGCCTATTTTCTACCATAGGAATTTCCCATGCTTCTGGGCCTTTCTGGTTGTTCCTGCCCCTCCCCCTCCTTTTTCTGCTATATGTGTCACAGTGTTTTTAAGCCTTGCTAGACACATTTGGTGCTGGCTACAGCCAAGTCTGGGGACTTCAACTGGGGTGTGTCAATGCTCCTGCTGGGACTTAAAGCCAAAGGATCCTGGCCAGAGGTTTTTGCCCCTCCACCACTTGGGGTGCAACAACACCACACTTGGGGTCAGGAAGGAATTTTACCCCCTGGTCAGATTGGTATAGACTGTGGGGTTTTTGCCTCTCTCTGTAGCAGGTGGTGTGGTCCTCTGCCCGAGACCCTTTGAGCATACATTGACAACATTTTATAGAAGCAGGACATTGGCTGTCATGGCTCCCCTACTTTACCTGTGGCAGAGTAGGGTGTTAGGTCTATGTTGTGTCAGAGTTGAGGGTAGTCTTATGTAGAGTTTAGATTAAGGGTGTATGGGATGGTTTGGATAGGGATGATCCTGCCTTAGGAAGGAGTTTGGACTAGATGACCTCTGGAGTACCCTTCCAGCCCTACTTCTCTATGACTCTATAAAGTAGGAAGTAACAGGGGTAAGTCTGATACCACCATGTAGCAACAGTTGGTAAATGTTGATTTCTTAATGGCAACTATAGCTGCACTTAAATAGAGCTTTATATTACCGAAGCATCATACAGCTATTAGATAAATAGTATTTTTATTAATTTTATCAATTAACCATCTTTTCAATTACTGGTTTTCCTCTGAAAAAACAGCTGCTGGGAAAGTCATAGCTCCTCAAGTGAATGTCCTCAGAAAAACAGGGACTAAGAATAAAAATCATGGGAGCCTAAAGCATGTTAACATATATTTATAGATAGATATATCTGTCTAGATCTAGATAGATAGATAGATAGATAGATGTTAACTGCGGAACTGCTTGCCATAAGGTGTCACTGAGGCCAACTTCTAAATAGGAATTTTTAAAAGGATTAGCTAAACATATATGGATAATTGGTACATTCAGGCTGTGTCTACATGAGATGCTGACTGTGCAGAGGCCTGTGACTACTGTGCAGTAGCATTGCATGGCAGGAAGTGTGATGCAATGCAACTGCGTAGTGGTCATGAGCTACTGCACAGTCAGCATCACAAAACAGCCATTCCTCAGCATGACTGCACAGTAACTCCAGTTACTGTGCACTCATTTAGTACTTGTTTATACTTGTTTATACAAGTACTAAATGACTGTGTAGTAACAACTATAGTGTCTCACAGTTGCAATGGATATGATATTCAAAATCCAAGGGATATACATGCTCAGGCTCCAGGGCATAAGCTATCAACTAAGTGATGTGGTTAGAAAGAAATTAGCCTCATGAGCAAACGATTCTGTAATTAACAAGTACCAGGTTTCCTGCTCCTTTCCCTGAAGTACCTGACACTGGTCATTGATCTTTAGAAATAGAGCTAATCTGTGTAGGTACAGTCAAAGAGGGAGCCATGCTAGGTGAAAAAGCAGACTTGTAAAACTGTACAACTATTGGTGCTACTTACTTTCTGATTAATCTTGCTTTCTTGAACTCATTATATAAGCAATTGTTGAGGTCTATCCTATGGCTTAATTTGATACACCACAAAATGATACAGTTTGAGCATCCAGAAAAGTTCATTTCAACTGATTTTCCATCTCTCTGTGTTCTACTGAATCTTACTTGATCCTCCCAGTCTTAGTGTGACCATGTACTTTAAAAGATTAATTTACCTATGGTTGTGATGACTGTTCCAGCAAAGAAAAAGGCACTTCCTAGGTCCCAGTGACTGCTGTTGTTGGATGAGTTTCCTATGGGACTGACTCCTGCATTATCAGCATCAATGGCATGCTGCAAAAAAGAGATAACAAATCAGCACAAATACCTTGCTGAATATGGTATAAGCAGAAGCAGATCCTAAACTCTGGCTCCACGCACCAGTTGAAAAAACTTGGATCCAAGCTTCATAGCTGACATTAAATAAATAGACAAGCAAACAAACAAAAATTATGCATGGAGTGCAGCATCCTTCTATCCCCCAAATATTCTACAGACTTAAAGAAGTATCAAAAGAGAACAAAAATAAATAATATAGGGGATTGAGACATATTTCCAAGAAATATGGAAATATAATGGAGACAATGAGATTCACTAAATCTGAGTCAAAACTTGCAGAAGACAGTTTATTCTATTGGTGAACAGGAATAAGTATGATGGTAACAGAAATGATCAGGGTAGTAAATAGCATAATGTTCATGAAGTCCACTGAATAGTCTGCCAAGAGTTGTAATTCCCAGGCACTTAATAAATTTGTTCCCAATAAATTAATTATTATTACTGATAATTTATTAATTTTAGTTAAGCAAAATGTTGTTACCATGTTATGCCAAACAAACTATAAAATACTTCATTTGAAAAAAAAACAAGGAGGACACCTTAAGAACAATATATTGTATCAACTCTGTTACCATCAGGAAATTGCCACTTGTCACTATGATTCACACATCATTGACCCTTGAGATTTCACAGCAGAAATGATGACCCAGGTAAGATCCTCCTCTCTCAAAATCACAGAGGCCAGAATTACCACCTAACATAAATCTCAGCCTTCCTCAGTATCTGACACACAGATAAACAATTTGGGGTTTTGTTCGATAGATGACAGTACTGCCTATACACAGCAGCAGTATGTAGATGTTCATTTCTGGTTAATGGATTGTTCCCAATGGTAATAAAAATGTGCAAGGAGATTGGCAGTAGGAATGGAAGGAATTGGGCTAAAGCTGCTATAGATGTTAACAGAGAACCCACCTCTGATTATGTTAGTCTCTACATATTTCTGTATCAGTGCAACCATGTAATTTAACATAATCTAATGAGACATCACAGCTCCAGAGGGAATTTAGTATTTGTTTGTTGCTAAGCTGTGTAGTGTGCAAAAGTAGCAGGGAAATACCTGCCTCAGTGGGCTTAAATCATAACTTTGTGTTTTGTTTTTGTTTCTGACAATGTTAAAGTGCTATTTCCGGAGACCTCATCTACCAATTTCATCTTCCAGCTTTACAATAATGATTGACAAATTTGCATCTCTGCATCTGACCACCCCTCCAATCCTATATCTTGACTCATCTCTCTGGTTAGACCACTGAAAACTTAGTATTAACATGACCAAAAGTAAAGTTGAATTCTGCTCCAAAAATCTCTCCAGTGCTCCAGCACTCAGCCTAAGGAACCACCTCAACTTTCTCTCATCTCTCATATCCAGGAGGTATCCAGATCTTGCAGGTATTTTTCATACAATATTTCTACCATGCAACTTTTCTCATTCTTAACATAAACTACCATGAAGTCCATCATCATCTTTCGTTCTGATTGTAACATCCCCAGCCTCTAGTAATGCAAAAACCACCACTTTATCACCTTTCTTATTCATCAATCTGATTGTGCCATCCTGCTCTTTGTATCCTTTTCCTTTACATTGTTGCCACATTACCTTCAAGCATCTCCTATCTCATTCCCTGTTCCACTAACATCTCATTATTCCATTTCCCCTCTTTTTTCAAAATCATCTCTGTGCTTTCTTCCATGTCGAACCTGTGCTTGGAATGCCGCTCATAATGTCACTTGATACTCCTTGAAATCTTTACTGAGACCCATATCCAGTGCATTTCCCATTTCCACAACACTTGAAAGGGAGTGCCCACAACACTTTTAAGAAAGGTTGTCATTTGTTTCTCCCATGGGGTAACATCTCATTAACATGGAGGAAGGGTGTCAAATATTGAGGAAGAGGCCTAACAACGCAAAGATTGAAGCTGAGCATAGGTATTGGAGGAAAAAAAAGCTGAATTAAAGAGATAGGGAGAAATGTAATGTGTTAAATAAGAACAAACATAAACACAATTAACTGCAGATGCAGGTCTCATCATCCTGATTGCTTCTTTTGGAAAACAGATTAGTAATTCCACATATATCATGCTGAATTTAAATGGATGATAAGACACTAAGGAAAAATGCATCAAAGAATATAGTTGAAATACAGGACCAATTGAAGTGAGACAAATGAGGACTAAACAGGTAGGCTTGTGAGAGATGATAAAATAACCAAGAGATATGGTTGTTAAGAACGACGTGTTCTAGGACTAAGCCTCTTGAAGTTATCCATAACACTATAGGCATTACCATCATCTAAATAATGAATAGTAGGAATGAACTATTATGGAGGTGCCCAACCTCCTGTTCTTTCCTGATCAGTGGTTTCCAAGGATTTATAATTCATTCCTTTTAAACTGTGTGAGACTGAAATTTACTGGCATACAGAAGCTATGAGTGCAGAAAGTATTGGTTTATGTACCCAGAAGAGTGTAAATCAGGCTGACAGACTGGTTATTCAAACAGGCCATGACATTGTCAGTCACCTTGTTGTGTTACTTGTGCCTGGGAATACTTGTCTTTCCCTTGTGGGCATGAGAATAGTCTGGACCAATGGTAATGCCCAAGTCATGTCCAGTGTCACATAGACTATCAAGTCTGTGCAGCTGAAGATGCAAGTCCCTCTGGCAGCAGCGCTGTGTTGCTGCAATGCAGAAGAATTCTGTTGCAATGGGTAGCTCTTTGTCTTGTCCCTTCACATGACCACATGTTTCAGTCTATCACAGGAGGCTTCTCTGTGCTGTGATTGATTTCCTCTAATTTATAAACCGGCAACTATCCCAGGCAGTAGGTGCACAACTCATACTGCAATGGGGCTCGACCTTCTCAGCTGCCCTCCAGCCCTTTTATGACTGGCAGCACCTGGTTGACAGCCATTGTTGGTGCTCATTCAACTTAGCTCAGTGCTTCACAACCAGGTGTTGCTACCTCCAGAGAGCACTGCACCCTGCCAGCTACACAGCCAGCCAGGAAAGAGCTGTAGCATGTGGACACACGCCTCCTGAATTAGGGCTCTGATCAGCCTCAAGCAGACAGGAGCTGCTTCATGCTGTGTAGCCCGTCCCTGTCCAGCCCCTCCTACACTCCTTCTGGGAATAGAGGCACACAGTTGGAACTGTTTCACATACTTCTGTTTGCAGGAGGAGCGTGAGAGACCAGAAAGGGCTACAACCCAGCAGACACATCCTGCCTGCTTTAGGCTGATCAGAGTCCTAATGAACTAGGAGTGCTCACAGGGCAGGTTTACCTGGCTATTGCCATGGCATCAGCACCAACATTGGGGCACCCCTGAGGGGAGCAGTTCTTGGCATAGCTGCATTAGTACAATAGCAAGAGCTATCTTCTTTAAAGGGATAGTAGACTGAGACTCACTGGCCATGTCTACACATGTGCTTTACTTTGGAGTAGACTAATTAGCTGCAGAGTAAGGCATCACCATCTATACATGCAATATTATTAGGATGCATTCAATTAATTAACACCGCCATAACATAGTACTGTCCTCAACAGTAATTAACTGTGATTAAACAAACACATAGCTGCTGACCACAGGCATAAATTGTGCCAGCCAGAAAGGGACCAGACTCCTGTCTGCCACCTAGCCACGTGGCTCTGCACTTTCAGTACTCTCATGCCCCAGCCAGACACTCCACCACCCAGTGCCACCACCTGGAGCACAGGACAGAGTAGGGCAGGAGCAGCCCTGCCAAAAACTGTTCTGCCCTGAAACAAATTACTGTTGTCCTGGGCCCACATGTAGACACTGTGCCCAGAAGTAGTATACTCTGGCTCAAACTTCTCTGGAGTTTATTGCTTCAAATTAATTGCATGTGTAGATGCTCCCATTGGGGGCATCTACACATTCATTAATGTGCAGTGGTTACTGCACATTTAGTTTAGTATTGGCTTAATGAAGTACTAACTAAATGCAAAGTAACTACAGTTACTGCACAGTAGCACCAGCACATGGTTTTTTAGCGACGCTTACTGTGCAGTATCCTAATACTACTGCACAGTAGCATATTAGCATGGCTTTTGCCTGGTATGCTACTGTGCAGAGTTATTAGGCTACTCCACATAAAGCATCTCATGTAGACACGTCCACTATATATAATGAAATGTCCAAAACATTGGACCGGATAACCAAGTATTGGTTTTGGCTTGAATGTTAATTTAGCCAATCTGGGTTTCAGGGTCCTAATCTAT